GCGGAGGGGGGGGGGGTGAAGCGCGAAGCACGAAGCGCAAAGGAAGTGGAGGGGGTAGGTCACAACGAAGCGCGCGCGAAGCGCGCGCGCGCGGGCAACGAGGCGGAGGTGATGAATGGGTGGTGGGGGAGGCACTACGAGCGTCCACGAGGTTCGTCGGCGCCCATCTGGAGAGAGGTCGGGGAAGCTCCTCGAGCCAAGGCCCGCTCATCGTACTGTTGTTCTCCAAGTCCCCCATCACCTTGAACCTCGTGAATTCCTTTCCCGTCAGATCCCTATCCACGCTATCCTTGGCAATCAGGGTTGCTGACGCGCTGGCAGCTAAGCAGTGCAGAGCTTCGGAGGTACAGCGTGCAAGGATCGCGGAGATCGAGAAAATGGTTGCCCTGGTTCGGAAGAACTAATGAAGCCGACTCTCGATGCCATGCCTGTCCCAGAAGAGTAGGCCGAAAGACCTCCGGAGGACCCCTAGGGATTTCGCCCCTCTTCCTGCGCGTCCCCCGCCACCATCTGCACCCGCCGCTATTGTTGCTTTCTTCTCCACACGCACACACACACATCCTCGACAGTGAGGGTCGGAGATTTACGGCGTGCCACTATTCCCTTTCCAAGGCGGCCCGCGCCGCCTGGCTTGCATCCCCGTGCGAGGCCCCGCATGCTTATCTCTAGTGTTCGCTTTCGCCTCCCTCAGGGGGAAGGGTTCACTTGGCTAAGGGGTGGGTTCACGAGTCGCATAGCGTGATCTTTTCATCGCTGGTCAAGGCTTGGATTTATCTCTGAGGTGACGCTTTCGGCCAGGACCAGCTCCGTTTACTTGCGGGGCTTTGTCGGCCAGAGCGTATCTCTCGTAATAGACGCGAGTGCTTGTACAGGTTTCGGAGTACTCAGGCCCAAGGGCCTGGCCGCCTGATGTTGCTTGGATGTTGCTTCGCAGCTATTCCGATTCCGATTCCTCCTCAGCCCTCCTCCTCCACCTCCTCCTCCTGCTCCTCCTCCTCCTCCACCTGCTCCTCCCCCTCCTCCTCCTTCTCCTCCTCCTCCTCATCATCCCCCTCCCCCTCGATCCTCGACCCTGCCCCATGGACACTTCCCCTCGATCCTCCCCCTTCCAAGACATCCGCCGATCTTTATTTGTTTCCTCCGCAGCCCCAGAGGTCTCGCGCGCTTGAAGGGCGGTAGTTGTCCGTTCTGGGTCCACTTTCGACGGTCCCGGGTCCCGAAGACGGCTCCCGAGGGACAGCGTCGAAGGACCATCTAGGGCCTGAAACAAAAACGTCGTCGGAGATCTGGGGCGGTCCTCGTTCGTCCCCCTCCCCCTCGATCCCCCCGACCCTCCGATCGAAGGTGGCGTTGGAGGTCCCCCATCGAAGGGCGAGGCCCCACAGGATCGACTCCTCCTCCTCCTCCTCCTCCTCCTCCTCCTCCTCCTCCTTCTACTCCTCCTTCTCCTCCTCCTCCTCCTCATCCTCCTCATCCTCCTCATCCTACTCATCATCCTCATCCTTCTCATCCTCATCCTCATCCTACAGTGATCCCCTTCCTCCTCCTCCTCCCTCCTCCTCCTCCTCCTCCTCCTCCTCCTCCTCCTCCTCCTCCTCCTCCTCTTCCTCTTCCTCTTCTTCCTCCTCCTCCTCTTCGTCTTCTTCTTCTTCTTCTTCATCCTCCTCCTCCTCCTCGACCCTCCTCCCTCTCGATCCTCGATCCTCCTCCCGATCCTCCAGTTCACTCCTCCTCCTCCTCCTCCTCCTCCTCCTCCTCCTCCTCCTCCTCCTCCTCGACCCTCCCCCTCCCCAGGCATCCGCCGATCAGAGTTGATCAATCCGCGGCCTCAGATGTCCGGCGCGCTTGCCGGGGGGTACTTTTCCGTCTTGGATCCGTGTTCGACATTCGGGGGCCCGAAGACGGCCCCCCAAAGCCGAAATCGAAAAAATCGCCGTTTTGAACAACAGGCGCATCGTCGGAGATTTGGGTCGGTCCTCGATCCCACTCTTCCCCCTCGATCCCCTTCGACTTGACCCTCCGATCCCCCTCGACGCCTCCTCCTCCTCCTCCTCCTCCTCCTCCTCCTCCTCCTCCTCCTCCTCCTCCTCCTCGATCCGTTTCCTCCTCGATCCTCCTCCCCTCGAGCCTCGACCTTGCCCCTCGATCTCACAGACAGGACGTCACGATCATTTCCAAACCGTTGACCCCCAGAGGTCTCGACCAGAGCCCCGGGACTTGCTTCTTATCCGGAGTCGTTTTGTTCTTGATCACGGGGGGCTCGGCGAGGGCCCCAGCGGCCGAAGATTGCCAGAAGCCTCCCGTCGAGGGGGTTGGGGATCCTCGCTTCCCCCCTCGGCCTTCGATCCTCCTCCCCCTCGACCCCCCCGGCCCTCCCCCCGGCGAGGTGGCGTCGGAGGTCGCCGCCGCGGCCGCCGCGCTGGCCGCCGAGGGCGGCCCCCGGGCGGCGGACCTGGAGCGCAACGCCGCGCTGCTGCAGGGCCTGCTGTCGGCGGGCGGCGCCGCCGCGCCGGGCAGCGCGCGGAAAAAGAGGGCCGGCGAGCCGCGAGACGGGGGGGTCTGGATGCGTGGGCACCCCGATCGCCCACAGATCGCCGACAGATAGGTGGTCCGGTAGCCCACGCGGCGGCGGGCGAAGACCGAACCACAGCTGGGGAACCACGAGGGAGGTGCCGACACGCCGCTGCGCCACGCAGGCCCCGCGCCCCAGGCGCGCTCGTGCATACGGGTGTCAGCCAGAGCGCTGGGCCAAAGCCAGGGTTGCACTGACCCGGGCCAGCGCGCAGGATTCCGTATACGGATCCTGCATGGTCCAGGATCCTGCAGACAGAGCCCATGGCTGACCTGGGCTTGGATTGACTCGGGGTCGGTAGATCCTCGAGATGGGCGTTCCCAGACCCCCTCGCGCCGTGACACTACCACGACAGACGGGAGGTTTTGGCAGCCTTCGGCCGGCCTGGGGGGCCCTCGCGGGGCCCCGGGGCCGTCAAGAGACGACTCGGGACGGAAAGCTGGTCCCCGGGGAACGGGTCGAGACTTCTGGGGGGTCGACGTTATGAACAAATCATGACGTGGGGGGTCTGGGTTTCTAAGATGGGGGGGGGCTCTGCCCAGACCTGTAACGCCTCGAGAAACTCAAGGCGGAGGTTTTCCGCAGTTTTCGGCCTCTGGGACTGTCCAACGAGATTCAGGACGAAGAGCCGGCCCCGAGGAGAAGGCGTAGGCCTCTGGGGGCCCTGCATTGAGAAGCTCGAGACAGCAGATGTTTGGGCAGGAGGGAGGAGGGAGGCGGCGGTGGACGGCGCCTTGAGACGATTGTGCGTGGTCAGTGGCGGGTGGCGCTGCCTCCTTACCCCAATCGAGGCTCTCGGGAAGAGAGGGGCGCGGGGGGATAACGCTGGGCGCACGGGGTGGGCCCAGGTCCCCGTTTCATGGTCGTGACCCGTGGGGCCGCGGACGGAATGTCAGGGCAGAGGAGGACGAGGAGGAGGAGGAGGAGGAGGAGGAGAAAGAGGAGAAAGAAGAGAAGGAGAGGGGGAGGAGGAGGAGGAGGAGGAGGAGGAGGGAGGAGGAGGAGGAGGAGGAGGAGGAGGAGAGGAGGAGAGGAGGAGGAGGAGGAGGAGGAGGAGGAGGAGGAGGAGGAGGAGGAGGAGGAGGATGAGGAGGAGGAGCAGGAGGAGGAGGAGGAGGAGAAAGAGGAGCAGCAGAAGGAGGAGGACGGGATGACAAGCCGGTCCAAAGGAAACGTTTCAGGTCTCGGGGGACCCACGTTGTGAAACATCACAGCGTCTGAGGTCTGGGCAGTGATGAGAGGATGCGGGAGGGGCGCGGAGGAGGAGGAGGAGGAGGAGGAGGAGGAGGAGGAGGAGGAGGAGGAGGGGGAGGACGCGGAGGAGGACGAGGAGGTTTCATTGATCCAGAGTTTCCGGCGCTGGCCCTCCTCTCTCCCGACAAGATGTGTCACCGAGGCTTGCCCATGGGCGCAGGCGCGCAGGCCTCCCCCTCGCTCAGCATGGTATGGTCCCGCGGCCGTCTGCGATTGACCTACTTTGCAACCGCGCGACTCCACTTGTTGACGTCGCATCGGTTCCCATTACATTACACACTTGGTTTCTAGCAGTGTTTCGGTTACACGTCTTGTTACCAAAGCAATGTGTGGTCTGAGGTTTGATGCCTTTTCCGTGTCGAAGTGTTGCTGTTTGCAACGTTGGACATTCACATGTTCCCCAACGAGCATCGGGACCCGGAAGCGCGCGCAGGCTTTGGCATCATGATGTCCACAGCAACTTCCAACGCCCCCACCAATTTCGAGAGGGAGGGGGATGGGACCATACCATGCTCGTGGGGAAGGGGAGTCTGCGACCCTTGGATTTTACCATGCTGGGGAGGAGGAGGGCCTGCCGACTTTGGACTATACATGCATAACCCCCTGCCCCTCCCAACAGCCCCCCCCTCCCTCCCAATAGTATGTGCTTGATGTCTGATGGGCCATCCCTTGCTTCTCCAGGCAGCGCGGATTCTTGACAACGGGATGGCCAGGGGCAGTTTCTCACGTATTGGCGTAGCGCAACATAGCTCCGTGACCAAGCAAGTGGCCTTTGGGACCCAGGTTCATGCACCAAAGGGGCTCTATGAAAGGAACATGAATGTAGATAATACTTGAAACATCGGCCCGTGCGAACCGTCAGAAGACAAAACAGGACAAAACTGGTTGGGAGGCTGGGTTGGGTCCCGTTGGACGCGTCTCGAGCTGAAACAAATATCGTTTTGTCAGTCCCGTTGGAGCCGGTGGTCGGCGTCACGCCGACGATGACCGAAAAAGTTGAAGCAATCCGAGCTCCAGGCACCATGGGTGCATCGAAATAGCCAACGAGCAACCACCCGCAAATACAGGGGGAAGAGGGTATTCCAAGCACTCGGAAGGGGGGTCTGTGAGCCAGGGGTCGGAAGGTGGACCACTCAGACTTTAGTGGGTACGGGTTTCTGCCGGCAGGGGGCGACATACACACACACACACGTATATATACACACACCCTTATCCATTTCTCTCAAGCCATGCTTGTTTCAATTATCAGTGTGGCAGAAGTTGAGGGGTTGCGCGATCTATTGCTTGCTCCCGCTGTTAACGAGTGTGCTGCATGGATATGGAACACAGTTCTTACGAAACGGCATCGACACAGCAAAGAGGGAACACACTCGAGTCCAATGCTGAGCGCTTTGCCAAGGTGGCTGCGAGAAAAGGCATCCACGTCGCTGATCCTGCAGGAACAATGCGGAAGATGTTTGAGACCTTTGTCGGAAAAAGATTGGGTGATGGCCCAGAGAAGGCAAGCGCCGCTAGAGAACAGAGAGGTGACTCTTCGCAGCAGCAGCCCCGGTCAGAGAAACAAACCAAAGATACGAAGCCGAAGAAGGCTAGGCAGACCAAAGGAGAGGTCGAATCCTCGTCATCGTCCTCATCATCCTCGTCGACTTCAGGTTGCAAGACGAAGCCACATAAGAAAAGAAAGAGGAAGAAAATAAAGGAAACGAAGGCCAAGCGAACGAAAAAGGAACGTGAGCTTCCCAAAGGTAAGAAGTGTTCCAATTCTGCGGCGGACAAGCTGGCGCGTGAGAAGAAGCGAGAAGAGGCTGATCAGCTAAAGGCTATGGACCCCAAGCATGCTGCCATCATCAAGCGTTTCAGGAAGACTTGTGCACGAGTACCTTCGCAGTAGCATGCTCGTCGATGCTGGCCCAAACAAATTCTGTCAGAGTCATGGGCATGGTTGCTCCGCTCAGCCGACACGCATTCGGAGGTCCACAGACACGATGAATCGGACTAAACCTCCAAAGGAGGGCCTCAATACCGTCGGATTCCAGCACCGTTTGATTGCAGAGGTTTGATTGCAGAGGGTCCAGCGTTGTTGGCAGCATAGTTGGCGAAGCACGCCGTCCGCAGGCTTATTGCATCTGCTGGCACCGTCTGCCTCAACCGCAATCTATGGTGCATCTCACAGCGCATGCCCATTCAATGAAGTTGAATATACTTTGGTGTGTTACGACAAGCAAGCCGCCTGTGGCAACCACATGTGCGCATGAGTTGATGGCGAGCCGGAGACGGGAGTGGAGGAAGGTGGAATATTTTGGTAGGTCAGTTGCGAGGAGGCGGTTGCTAGCGAATCCGATGGCATGGGTGCTTTACAGAACATGCCTGGCAAGAGTCAGATGCCCGGCCTACGGATGAGACAGCAATTGCAAGAGCGACATGTTTCATCAAACATGCCATGATCGAAGACGCCTGCGGCGAATCACCGCCGCCCCCTGCCCTTGTGGAAGCGCCTGTGTGGCCGACAGCTGGGCTATAGAGCTTGGCCAAGCTATCGGGCAAGTTGTTCCGCGAGTCGGTTTGCAAAGCATTCATGGAACGCGTGGAGCAAGAGGTTTGAAATCGCCCATGTGTCCGAGCGTTGTGGCAAGAGCTCTGCCAAGCTATCAGACCATGTGTTTCTCCAACCGTTGTGGAAGCCCTTCGGGGAACACTTGAGGGAGGATGGCGGGGAAGATCAGGAGGAGGTGGAGGAGAAGGAGGAGGAGGAGGAGGAGGAGCAAAAGGAGGAGGAGAGGAGGAGGAGGAGGAGGAGGAGGAGGAGGAGGAGGAGGAGGAGGAGGAGAAGGATGAGGAGGAGGAGGGGGCATCTTAGGAGCCTCTGGGTGCACGCTTGGGGCCTCCTGGGAGCTTCCTGGGAGCCTCTTGCAGGCATCTTGGGGGCCTCCTTGGGCCTCTTGGAGGCCTTTAGGGGCTTCTCGGGGGCCTCTTTGGCCGTCTCAGGGCATTCCTGGCCCGTCCGATTTCGTCGGAAGCCGTCTTGGGGGCCTGTCTGGGCCGACTTGAAACCCTCTTGGGGTGCTCCAGGGCCGTCTTGGAGGCCATCTTGGGCGTCTTGGAGGCCTCTCGGGCCGTCTGGTGCCCTCTTAGGTCCGTCTTGGGGGCCTCTTGGGCCGTTCTGGGGCCGTCCTAGAGGCCCCTTGGGCGATATTTCGGGGCTCTTGGGCCGTTTCGGACCGTCGGAAGGCCGAAAAAAAGCAAATGCCCAAATCCTTCAAGCATCTAGGGAAAATCAATGTTTTGGGCATCTTCGGGCCTTCCTGGAGGCCCTCTTGGAGGCCTCTTGGGACGTCTTGGAGGCCTCTTATGGGCCTCTTGGGCCATCTTATAGCCATCTTGGGCCGTCATGGTGGGCTCCTGGCCCGTCTGCCGCCGTCGGAAGCTGTCTTGGGGGCCTCTCTGGGCCGACTGAGGGCCCTCTTGGGGTGCTACAGGGCCGTCTTGGAGGCCTCTTGGGCCGCTTGGAATCCTCTTGGGGCCGTCTTGAGGGCTGCTTGGGCCGTCATAAAGCAATCTTGGAGGCCTCGTGGGCGATCTTGGGGTCATCTTGGCGGTCTCTTGGGCCGTCTTGAGCGGTCGGAAGACCGAACAAAAAGCAAATCCGAAATACCCTCGCAAACCTAAGGAAAATGAATGATCTTGGTCTCGTCGGGCCTTCCTGGAGAACCTCTTGAGGGCCTCTTGGGCAGTCTTGGAGGCCTCTTGGGAGCCTCTAGGGCTATCTTGGGCCATCTTGAGACTACCTTAGACCGTCTTGGGTGCATCTTGGCCCGAGTTGGAGATATCTTGGGGCCATCTTGGCCGGCTTGGAGGGCATCTTGGCCGTCTTGGAGGCATCTTGGAGGCCATCTTAGGCCATCGTGGCTGTCTTGGGATATTTTGTTGGCAAATTCCATGCCTTCCAGTCCCTTCTTGGCGGCCGGCGGACTGGGCCAGAGCCCCAGGGGAGAGTTCTTGTGGACAAAGAACCAAAACCAAAAACGGTAGCGTCTAGCACGCCGGGCACCCCCGTGGCAAGACCACAGGGGGCGTTCCAAGCGCGACATCTTTGATCAAACATGCAATTCTCGAATGGCCTTCGGCCTATCCCGCCACCGTGCCTGGGGTGCGGGTCAGAGTTCTCAGAGATGCTTCTTGGGGTCTCGTGGGGGCGCTCTCGGGGGCCTTCTGGGACAGTTTTGGGTGCAGTTTGGGGGCTTCTTGGGAGCCTCTGGGGGGCCTCTTGGGAGCTGCTTGGAGCCTCTTGGGGCTTTCTGGTGGTCTCTTGGGGGCTCTTGGCGGTCTCTAGGGGGCCTCTTGGGGCCTCCCGGGGCCGAGAGCTCGAAATGTCCATTCGGGTCCCTCGTCGGGGCCCCCTCTTAGAGCCGCTGGAGGCCTCCAGGGCCGTCTTGGACGCCGGCTGGGACCCTCTCGGAGGCCTCTTGGGCCGTCTTAAGGCGACCTTGGGGGCCTCTTGGGCCGTCCTGGAGCGTTGGCGATCTTGGGGGCCTCTTGGGCCTTCCTGGAGCGTTGGGAGGCCGAAAAAGCAAGAACGCCACAATCTATCAAACACCTACGGGTAACTAATAATTTGTGCCGCTTGGGAGGCCTCTTGGGGCGTCTTGGGGGCATCTTCGGCCGTCTGGCGGCCATCTTGGGCATCTCGACTTCTGGTCCGCCCACCTTCATGGCTGATTTTCCGACCTGCCATTGCGTGGGATATGTACCCCAAACGGTGCGGAAACGTAGGGCGGACGTCTTCGCCCCATGAAGCACGAGATCGACATTTCCGCAACGGCGTGGCGGAAACGGCGGCGGCAACGCAGGGCGGAGATCCGCATCAGAGGAGCTTGAAAAGTAGGGCGGTTGTGTCCGCCTTACTAGGGCCCATTTCGGTCCGATCGATCCGATTCGATATCTGCTCCGGCCGGCCCAGTTCGATCCGATTCCGCCGTTCGGGCGATCCGATGCGGCCCGATGCTTGCATGGCGCTGGTGTGCACCCTGGCGCCGTCGATTCGACTCGGTTTGGCCTCCGCACCGATGCGGCCCAGTTCGTTGCACGCTTCGATCCGATCCGATTTCTCGATTCGATGCGGACTGCTCTCGACCCCACTTGCGACATGGCCCAGCGTACGCCGGAGCCGAAGTCAGGGCGCACCGACGTCGCACAGTGTCGTCTCGGCGTCGCCCCCACATACTAACACTGCGTGTGCGTCGCCCCCGCCAGGGGCGACGCGCGCACCGAGACATCTCAGAGTGTGTGCGTCGGGGCGGGCGCTTTCTGGCCCTGCCGCTCGGGGAACGAGCTGCTACAAGATACAAGATGGGTACACTATCTGTTCGGGTCGGGCGCGCGCCTCCAAGGAGGACACACAGTGCTAGAATGTCTCTGTGCGCCCCATCGTCCTTCCACCAGGCGGCGCTCGCAGCTGCTTCGGCTCGGGCATAGTGGCCAGGCGCGCGGGCTGGGGGCAGGGCCACCGAGAGGGGCCCGGCTGCGGGCATCGGCTCGGGGCAAGCCACAGGGCCATGATGTTGTAGTCAAAAGCCAAGTCGCACAGTGGGGACGAGCAGCTTTCCAGGGCCACCCCTGCAGCCTTGCCCCTTTGGCCCATGCTTGGACACTGTCGCCGGCCGCACGCCCACATGTAACATGGTCCTCCAAGGCCCTTGCATCCTCTGTCGCCCGGAGAACGGGCCAGAGAATTAGGCACTATACGTTGCCCTGTGGCGTTTCTGCGGCGCCCCATGGGACAGGGCTCAGATACATGGTGTTCTCATACGCACTTCTCCGAGGGAGCAAAGCTCAGAGGCGATACATTGAAGCAGCGTTTCTTGTTTTGGCTGTTTCGCTCGGGACATCCTCGACCTTCTGAAGGCCAGACGCATCCCTCACGCAGATCGCGACGTCACGGTCAAACAAACATACCGACCTTTAACAGTTTGAACATACAACTTTCAAAGACACTATGGAATTCAATGATTTCGAGCCCGAAACTTGGAAAATTGCAGTCTCGCGTGGGACGTCCTCCAAACATCGAGCCCCTTTGTCAACGCGATTCCTAGACAAAGACAGTTCCGTCTGAGATACCCTCCCAAAATCGAGCCCCGACGTAAAACACACCCTCACATTCGCACATAACACAATCAGAACACACACCCCACACACAACACACATAATACACAAGACACACATAGCACACACGCACGAAAAACACACGCACACATCCCACATACACAGATCACGCACAACACATCTACCACAAGCAACACACACAGCGCTCACACACAGCACACCGAACACACACACACACAACACGCAGAACACACAATACCTACACACACAGTCACACAGAACACACAACACACGCACACAACACGCGCACAACACACAATACACATAACACATAACACAAACCTGACACACACACACACACACACACACACACACACACACACACACACAACACACACGCACACACACACACACACACACACACATCCTGCACATGTGTTTGCATAAGCTTGGGCACGCACGTGCCACTTGTGTGTATAGGTATACGCGGTTCCCCACTGGCTCCCCCTCTGGTTGGTCTTGCCGGGCCGCCGTGGGGAAGAGAAGGGCTGAGCTGGAGAAGCGGGTCTGGCGCAGGCTGGTCGGCGGCGAGAGGCGCACCGTGGGCGAAAGACACATCCGGACCCGCGGCCCCGCGGGCCGCGACCTCGCGGCTGCGGGGCGCTGCTGCGCAGATGCTCCGCGGGGAGCGCATCCGTGCAACCGCGCATCCGCGGGATCGCGCCCCGGAAATGTTCGCCGCTCGTGGGAGCAACCGTTCGCTCATTGTGCACAACTGCGCCCCACAGCACGCAATTGCCCCCTCGGGCCTCGACGAAAAGAATCCTGGCGGGAGTTTTTCCTTACTCTCCACTTCCAGGGGCCCCTTATACTGGGCCTCGGGAGCGCCAACAAGCGGCTCGGGATGAAGAGCCCGTCCAGGGGGGAGGTGTCGATACCTCCGGGGGTCGACGCTGCGGAAAAATCATGGCGTCGGAGGTTCTGGGGAGACAGCCCGCACGCGCGCGCGGGCGGGCCGGGAGGCGGCCAGCGCTATACATGGGCGCCTCCCGCCGCCGGGAGGCGCCGGGAAAATCAGTTACGTGAGCTGATGCTCAAACCCCCCCTTTTGCTATCCCCCCCCTTTCGCCCGACCCGACAATCGCCGATCTCTGGGCGACGTGCCGTCGGCTACAGAGCGATCTTCCACCCCCTGAGCCAGCACCTCCTTTATCGAGGTCCAGCTTCGCAGCATGAGAAATGCTGCATCGCTGATGGGCTTGTTTTCCACCACAACCACCATAAGTTGGAGGGGGGAAGGAGGAGGAGGAGGAGGACGAGGAGGAGGAGGAGGACGAAGAGGAGGAGGGGGAGGA